CCATAAGACATCCTATATATAAGGGCTTAGCAGAATACATCTGAGCACTATGTTATTGGTCATTCCAAGTTGGGAAATCATGCAAGACGCATTGGTCTTCCATACAATGCCTTTTGTAGGAGCTTTAAAAATGAAGAGGAGGAAACAATTACTCATCTTTTGTGTAATTGCCCGGCCTTTAAATCGATTCGACATCAGGCAATAGGGTCGCCATACTTTTCTGATCTATCAGATCTGTCAACTGTTCAACCTGAACGTATTCTTGCATTCCTAAAATTGTCGAAGTGGGTGTGTAATTAATCACACACTATGTTCTCTACTTCTCTATAGGCTGGTTACCATCTTTATTCTTCACTCCTTCAATATTGTCTTTACTGTCTCTATCGCTATTTTTCTCCTTCTAAATCTTGTTGCTTTCCAAACGTTACAAGGCATACAGTCTGCAGAAAATAAAACATTCGCCTTCACCAAATCTTAGCAAATGTTTTAGCAAATACTATTTCTTTTCTTTAGAAAACAAACACACGGATATTACTAAATCGACGCACAAAATTAAATTATGGAATTTACAAATGAAATGACAAACTTATAAATAAACCTTCACACGAAGTTCAAAACAAACAATTTTTTCAACTATAAATTTTGAGTATTTTAAAATCGATTAACTGTGCTAATTAGTTAGTCAATACTTCCAAATTTATTTTTTTTTTTACAAAATTAATCATCAACTAGTATAATTTAGTTATTATAATGTAACTAATTATTTTTAATTAATATAATTATTCAAACAAATTCTAGACGTAACTTTATTTACTTTTACGTTTTCAGGTGTTTTCCCTTTTATTATTTTTTTTAAATAAACAAAAGTTTTGCCTTAAAGCAGCTTATACCAGTATTTCGAATAAATTTTTTTAAATATTTCTCTTTTATGTTGTGTATAAAAACTTTTTGTAGTTATGTATTTATTATTTTAAATTTTAAGATTAACTGTTTTTTTAAATCATTACTGGCGTCTGCTTTTAACTGCGTCAATACTTTTGTTTTTATTTACTTGCTTATTTTGTTATTATTGTTTTTTTAAATAATAAATATTTTTTTTATTTTGTTGCATTTAAGTTTAAACTTTTTATTTTTGTTATGAAATCTTTTCAAGGTTTTCATATTTAAAAATACTGTAGACAAAAACAAAAACATATTTCACCTTCAACCTTTAAAACTGAACTCGACTTAGTGTAGGTCGCTAATTGATCTTTTTTACGAATGTTAAGTAACGAAAGGGGAATTCACAAATTCTTTGCTATAACTATGTCATTATATTTATTACGTATAATAAGAATTGTTTTATCTAAAGAATTTTAAATAGATGAGTAACTGAGATTTTGTTTAAACAAAAATATTTGATTTTTATAAAACAAAATAAATGCTAATTTATACAAGTAAATTCTTGGTATTATTTTATAATTTTTAGATTTTTGCTGAATAATGAATTTTTACTTTTTTATTTATATGTAGAGTTATAAATTAAAATAGCAACACTTACCACAATGCGCAAGATCAATGATGGGTACCAAACTTTTGGCCAGCAGTGTATCAACTTTATCATCATTTGTTTTGGTTTTCAACATTTTGTATAAATTTATTTCTGTTTTGAACTTGTATGTGTTTTAATTTTCTCTGTTGTGACTGTTATTAACAGTTGATTGGTTTGATTTTTGCCTAAAAAAATAACAATAATGAAAAATTTTAAAGTTAATTGATATTTAATTGTTTGTATTTTTTTTTTTAATTTTATTTTAATTATTTCTACGCTTTTTTAAGAACTGAAATACAAAAAGAAATAATTTAAATTATAATTATACAAATAGTCTTCTGTATTTAAATATAATTTCAGTTTTGTTTACATTTTTAAAATTTTTCGAAAATTCGAACTTATGTTCGAAGATTTTTTAAATATGTTAAAAAATTCAAATAAATATTATACATTAGTTAAATATTATTTTTTAAATGTTAATGAATTTTAAAGAATTTTTATTGTAGCTTTAGGATATGTACCAAAAGTAACTTTTAAATTTAAACATCATTTGCAAAGATTAACTAAATTAAATTAATGATTTTCTAAAATTGCAAACAAATTAAATAACATTTAAACAACAAAACACTTTGAGATAAAAACTTTAATATTCAATCTTAATCTCAGGTTAAAAATTCCAAAAATATAATATTCCATTGAATTACATTTAACATGAACTGCAATATTTTTAGAAATTTTTTGACACAGACGTAAAATTTTATAAATCGGAGGGAAATACCCCTGCAATGACATGAGTCACTTTAAATAAATACTCATTTTCATGCAGCTTTCACATGAAAGCCTTTCTTTGTAAATTAGTAAATAAATTTTTAGTCAGAAACAACAAATATTTAGTTAAAATTAATATGAAACATAAATATTTAAAAGCTTAAAAATACATTGAACTGGTTTATTAAAACAATATAAAAATGTAAACGAATTTTAAGAATTTCAACCACAACGTTTGTTTTTGCTAAAGATAAACTTTAATTTTTTTTAAATAAATAATCACTTTTTGTATTTCAAAATTTTGTTTGTTAAAATAACGTAAATTTTATTTAATTTGACGCACTTGCAAAATTTGTTTGTTTATTTTTGTAACAATAAGTAAACGAAAATTTAAAAAAAATGCAATTTTCTTCTTTAGTTTAAAACAATTTTTTTATCAAGAAATTTTTATTTTACAAAATACACGATATAAATATATACTTTTTTTACGTTAATCAATTCAAAAAAATATATAAAAAGAGTATTTTTGGTTAAATTAAAAAAAAAAACGTTCTATAACGTTCAATGTTCTTGTGATAACTAAACCTGTATGAATACAAATTACCTACGTCAACCTCATAGAAACTGAAATGAAATCTTTGCTCCCCCTGTTTGTTTTTGTGGCTTATAATAGAGACCCCTAACACCGCCAACTTAATGATACAGTAGAAATTAAATGAAAATAACAATAAGAAGCAGCACTAATAACAACAGCAAAATACACAAAAAAGAAAAAGAAAATTACAATGATCTATTTACTTATCGTTCGATCACTCTCAATTTGATTAGATTATCATTTGTTCAATGATGATGTGAGTACAATACACTCACTATTCATTTACACAATAAATAAATGAAAGGGCACCCTATAGGTGAGAATCGTATTGTTTTCTTATAAAAAAAAAAAAAACAAATAAAAAAAATAACTAAAGCAAATTTTTATTTTCATTTATCTTTAAAAAAAACCCAAAAATTTTTAATCTAAGAACAAAATACATATTTTTTCTTATCTTTAATTTTTTTTATTATTTTTGGTTATTGTTATTATTTTTAATAAAATTTTGACTCACTTAAATTTTCTACTAAAATAACCGTTTTCATTTTTTGTTTTTAACTAATGGTGAGTATTTTTTATCACCTTTATTTGCTACACACATGAGTTTATGAATTAATTGTTAGTTTTTTTAGGTAGAGGGGGGTTTTTGTGTTTTGCAATAATACACCACCTTTTTAACAGTAGGTATATATGTATGTAGTCATTTATGTTTTAAGTTAAAGAAATTTAGATTTTTTTATTATAATTTCCATTTTGTTGTGTTTTATAGTATTTAGATTTCAGCACTACACGCGCTTGCTATACAATTAGTTACAGGTTTAATCGAAAAATTGTGATAAGCAAATTAGCACTAGTAGTTGAAGTAGTTGTCAAAAAATAAAAATAATAGTTCAAATTACACAGCAATTTTTTTTGTTTTTGCTCAAAAGGGTGTTATCAGTGTTGCCAATTGGTTTTTGATTATGAAATTTTGAAATTGTTGAATTTCGGTTTGTTATTGTTTAAGAAAAAGCTGGGAGAGAATAGAGAAATAGGAAAATGAGAGATCATAGTGCAATTAATAACAAATATACCGAATGACAATTAAAATACAAATATAGTCCTTAGATTCGATCCTCAGAAAGAAAAATTACTTGAGTTTTTTTTATTAAAATTTTTGTTCTAAAGTAAAGTTTACTAAGTAAACTAATCTAAATTTTAGATTTGGTGTAAAATTATAAAATGTATTAAAATTTTCAACGGTACATTGAACTTTCACAGAAGGATTATAAAAAAATTTACATACTAGCTAAATTTGCCTTTGTCAAAGGTTTTTTTTTTTTTGCCAAATTAAGCATCATATTTCAAAGGCATAAAACTTGTCGACAGACACAAAATAATTTGTTTTATCAAAAGGAAATCTATCGATTTCAAAATGTGACATACCAGAACAATCATAATTATAAACATATCGTCGGTAAAAACACGAAAGTTTATTAATGTTTATTATCATTTTATTAAATAGTAAAGTTTTAATTGAATTAAAAAATACTTTATTTTTAAGTTAAACATTTTAACACTAAACTGATTGATTTTAATTTAGGTTGACATTTTTAAATTAGTTCCAAAGTTAAAGAAAGTTTACTTAGTAAACTAATCTAAATTTTAGATTTGATGTAAAACTATAAAATTTATTAAAATTTTCAACGGTACATTGAACTTTCACAGAAGGATTATAAAAAAATTTACATACTTGCTAAATTTGCCTTTGTCAAAGGTTTTTTTTTTTTTGCCAAATTAGGCATCATATTTCAAAGGCGTAAAACTTGTCGACAGACACAAAATAATTTGTTTTATCAAAAGGAAATCTATCGATTTCAAAATGTGACATACCACAACAATCATAATTATGAACATATCGTCGGTAAAAACACGAAAGTTTATTAAAGTTTATTATCATTTTATTAAATAGTAAAGTTTTAATTGAATTAAAAAATACTTTATTTTTAACACTAAAGTGATTGATTTTAATTTAGGTTGACATTTTTAATTTAGTTCCAAAGTTAAAGAAATTTTGCATTCATGTCCCCTCACGGACTCTCTGCTATCCCTATTCTTCTCTCCTTCTTATAGGTTTATTTACAAAGGGATCATTACTGGACTTAAGTAAGGCTATAACTCGGATGTTCGATGCAGCCACCTGTCAAACCTAAAACCTAGTTCCAAGGTTGTTCTTTCAGAATCTAAAGTGGTGCTTCTTGTACTCGATCTAGAAGTAGTTGTTTTTAGAATAAGTTCTGACTTTTTTCTGAATTGAAAAGTATATTCAGAATATAAATAAAAAAATCGCAAACGGAATGCCTATTTGAGGAATTAAAATTAGTCTTTCTTTTCAAAACTATTTAAATTGTTACTTTTACTCTATTTTCTTTTGTTTAAGCCCTTTTACATTTCCGATAGCGTCATAAATATATACATATATAGTACATATTTCTTTTATTAACCACTTTAACAGGTAGTTTGTTGATACATTGAACTCACGCATTTTATTACTACTACTCATCGTAAATTCTTACAACTGTAACGATATATGTACATAAATATGTATATACATATACATATACATACATATGTAAGTATATATTGGCAGACAATGTGTGTCAACGATTCAACGGATTTAATTTTGGGTGTCTCTGATAAACATTCTGGTTTATTGCACAAAAATAATGTCCGTGTATGTCTGACAGTAGAGTATACACACATCTTGTGAAGAAACAGCAAAACGGATCAACAACCTCTATGATTGAAATTTATGTACAATGAAACAGCAACAATAAAACAAGCAGGTGGTATTGTAGAATCAATATAAATACTCGTATGGACAAACATGAATATATAAAATTTATATTATAAATATGTATGGATGTATGTACGTACATATTTGCGTTAAGGAAAAATGTTTCGAAACATCCATTTAATTGAATAGATACACATATTAACAACTAACTTTCTGCATATGGTAGTAAGACATTTAGAAATTGATCAATGATTATTTTGCTTGTACAATGAACTTATCAAGAAATCTTAAGTAGTAAGAAGAAATTTTGCAGAATTTTTACAGTAAATACTAGGGGAAAATGATGAAACTTTTTCAGTACCTTAATGTAATTTTTATCGATTTGTGTAAGTTCTTATTTGCTGCGATGTTGTGCAAAATTTTTCAAAGGGAATCTTTAAATGCTCATTAAAGTAAAGGTTTTGAAATATTACATATCGCTCATTTAACTGAGGGCTATAGTTTATGCCTAATACTCAAATGTCTTCAAATAAGGCTATTATTTTCGATGTTTTTTTGTAAACGTAAAAACTAAAACTCATGTTTTCACGAATATTAGATAGATAAAAATTAAATTTAATTTAAATCTGAAACATATTAACCTCTACTATCTGTATCCCAGCAAAAAAAGTGAGTAAAAAGAAGTAGAATTTTCACCACAAATAACATACTTGAAGTACTTCCAATTTTGGTGAAAAACCTATGAATTTTACATTAGCGTGTCATTGGAGGGATGTTGTTCATTTTTGACAACTTTGAACTACATCTAATCTTATTCATAGATGCAGTAAAAATCCGATATTTGGATGTCAAAAATAAAACACATTCTTTCAATGACACGCTTATGTAAATTTCATTGGTTTTTCACCAAAATTTGATGTACTTCAAATATGTTATTTGTAGTGACTTTTCAACATCTCTTTCCTCACTTTTAACTCGGTTTTTATTTGTAAGGAAATATTTGGTTTGTAGAAGCTAAAAATATGCAATCGCATTTTTAGATGTGATTAAGATGTCGTTTGTAAAGTATGACATCAATTATTTTTTGCTGGGATCTGGTAAATTTTCAAATACATACCTTGATTTGTTGAAAAATAGTAAAATGTCATTAAACATTTAAATCCATTTTTCTCGAAACGCCTTTTAGGCAATCTTGCAGTAACCTACTTCGAAATTAGTAAAATTCTTAGTAACAACTCCCAATTTTTGAATTTTATATTAAAATCTAAAAAATAGTTATAAAATAATTTCAATGAAAAATCGATTAAATCTCTCAAACCTCCAAATTCTTTTTATATGGCAACTTTGAGTCTAAAATTAAATTGTCTTCAAAGAGCACAAAATGAAGCAAAAAAAAAAAAAACAAACAGAGAGGAAGAGAACATCAAATTACAATTTGAAGTTATTTTTTAAATTTTGCAGATACAAGATACAAGAGAGGCAATAAAAAAGTAAAACAAAAATACAGAACTAATAGTAGTATGTACTGCAAACCCGTATAAATGATCAACCAACCAAACAAAAGAATTTTAATAACACAAGACAAACAAAAAAATAATAATAATACATGTTTGAACAACTAAATACCTATTTAAACAATGAAAAACTGCTCTATGAGTAACAAGAATAAAAAAAAAACAAAAACAATAAATAAAAACATTTAGATTTTAATTAGAGCATTAAGCCACACTAAATACACTGCATTAACTTATTTTAGCACATACTCGTCTATACAAATAATATTCGTACTAGATACTTCGCAACTACATGTATGCAAGTACTAAATAAATTCACTTTGTCTGTACATATGACTAAATAACGTGTCGAATACAATTTTTGCTAAATACCACGCTTAAAATACTAACGGACAGACAAACCGATCGTCATATAGACATACAAAACTTGAAATTATTATTACTATTGTGTAAAAAAAAAAAAACAAAAAGGGTCTAACATGTAGAATATGTATCTGTCTCTGCATATGTTCATACATATATTTCATTTTTTTCCTACTAAATTCAAGTATTTCTTTTTAGACACTCAACCTCATCAAAAGGTTAGCAACAGTCTGCAGTTTTTTTATGTTTTTCATCGACTTCAAGTTTCAGTTAAATTTTAACACTTTTTTGTATGGTTTTGTCGACGAATACGTGGCGTTCATAAAAAAAATTCACTTCCATTACACTTTTTTCGGCGTCTTTTTGCAAGCAATTTTTAATTAATCATTTCATGTTGCTGTATTATTTTTTTAATTTTATACTATTGTTATAAATACTAAATGAAAATGTTTAAAAAACTTTCTATTAGCTTACAATTTAATTTTTTGTTAAATTATTTCGTCTGTCTGTCTGGAAAGCACACTTCACAACAGCAAAACAAACAACACAGTGACTTCAGTAATTTATTAAATTGCAAAAATAAAATAAGCAAAATACTAAAACAGTCAGCCAAACAACAACTGGTATCAGTGGTTAGAAATTAACGATTAAAACCGTCGTCACACCAAATAGTTTTACAGACGTTGTACACCTTCTATACTTCACAACATTTTCCACAACACTGAATGAAGGCTGATCATCGATCGATTCGATCATAAAAAATTTGTGTTATAAGAGTCCAAAGAGTGAGTTGTGGTGGTGAATACAATTTTATAGAGGTGTATAGAGACTTGTTTCTCTCTAGTTTTCCTTCTATTCTCTCTAATGATGTAGTTGCTAATTAGTGTTTTTATGTTGATCATATACATATGTACATATATTTAGGGTTTGTTTCTTGACTAAATGATTTACAGCGATATAATGGACGTAAGCGACACGATTTCCAATTTTTGTTTTTTTTAATAAAAATTGATAATTTAGGTCTATTAGCAGCATCTTATATATTAAATTTATAGAAAATTTTTCAACAAAGAAATATTTTAAATTTATTTGTGGATAAAATAAAATGTCAAATATCTCAATTTAATATATATAATCTATATTTTATGTTTATAGACGACTAAACAGCCGAAACGATTTTATTGATATTTTTATAGTGTATTCATGTATGTCTGGAAGAAGCTATAGGCTACTTTGTATTTTGAAATTTTGAGTGGGCGAGGAGCTACGCATATCTCATAAACTGCAATAGCTAGAGTCTTTTTTAGGGACAACTTTCATATTCATAAGAGTAATTGTTGACAAAATGGGCGGAATGTGTATAGTGGGGCAAATTAGCGGATATTCATTAGGGGAGCTTGGAACCTCAATAAAAAATAACGTATATCCTGGAACATATTAGATTATTAAAATATTTCATAGGATATATATCTGGAAAACTATTATAGTTCGAATATTATTCTTTGGTTAGAATCTTCAAAATCGTAAAGTGGGTTTTTAGGGTAGCAAAGCACACTTTGTTTTTATAAAAGTTTTTTTTTTTTTTTAATCAGATCGGAAATTTAATAAAGGGCATACTATTTTTAAAATCCACCATAAAAAGAATATGCGTAAAATAATCGTCTAAATGTCGTCCAAAATAAGTTTTTATTTTAATTACAAATATATTTGCTGCTTAACTTATGTGTTCAAAATTGAACAAAATATGATGATGGTACAAGATTATGTCTCGAAATGCCTAATAATCGTATTTCAGATACGTTGCTGTACTTATTTTATATTAGATTCAGCACTGCCAATATAAAATAAGATCCATGTGGACATTGTAAACTCTAATGATTTGCGATTCGTTTTTACTTTATGGAGTTTTTTAATCCATATATATATTATCAAACGAGTGACAAGAGATAAGCTTTTTCTAGATTTTATTAAACTTTCTTAAAATTAGGCCAACAACAATGTCCATTTTCCTAAATTTTGATATATAGTTGATATACGTCTAATATAAAAAGCAAAGTATACCATATATGGTATATAGAAAAATTGGAAAAATAACTATACTAATAGGTACAAACAAACTTGGTAAAAATTTATTACAATTAGCTAAAATTAAGCACAATTTATTCAATAGTAACTATAAGAAATATCAATTTTAATAATTTTTGCTCTATTGAAATTTACTTTTAAAATTTTGTACAAAATCGCAAAACGACAAGTTTGTAGGATTACTGATGACTGATTCAAATCGGAAGAGGGACAGAATGGTATTTGTATGAATAGTTAACGGTTAGTACCAATGAGTTCTAATTTTAAATATTTTCAACACATTTCGTCTTTAATATAATAGAAAACCACGTTTCAAGTTTCATTAAATTATCTTCAAAGTGGCGAAATTTAGAAGGATGCTTATTTATTCAGTCTTGGTAGACCTTGTCATAGAAATGTTCATATCTTTAAAAATTAGATTTTATTATCTTCTTTAAAATTATTAATATTTTATTTTTTAAACAATGTCCTGAATACACTAAAATGTTTCAATCAAATAATTGGACATATTGTCTTTAGGATTAAATAGATATTAAATCAGTACATGTGCCCAAAAGAGAAAGATTTCAAAATGTATAAAAATTAACTTACATACATACACACATGTTAATTTTCATCCTCCAACTGAACCATTCCTGAATATTTTTAGTTTCCACGACAATTGGATCTCCGCTCTAGAACGACGTGACTTCAGATAAGTCAAAGATTATTTACTTAGCATCCGCAGTATCAAATTATTCCAACAAAAGCAAAACTATTACAACTATTTAGATACAGATTGGATATTCAAATGCAATCCCTATTTTATAAAAAGGATAATTATTCATGTTAAACAAACAATGATCGAAGAATTGCAGTGATAGTGCGGTGAGGTCTTTAGAAAACTTTGTTAAAATACATTTTTACACTTAAAGCACAACAAATATATCATTTTATATTATTTTTAATATAAATTATAAAATGTTCACATTCTGCAAATAATTAAAAAAAGTATTATTGCCTCCAATTTATAACACTAACAGCACAAAATACAACTCTGTTCCCATACAGTACTTACGAATATTAAAAACAAATTTTTGGAACCTATTTAAAAATCTCATGTTTATAGAAAAAAAATCACAACTGAACAATAAATTAACAAATAAAATTATAATATTTATAACTAATTGTTTTAATATGGTTTCTATTGAATAACACATAATAAAAATACGAAATTAAAATGTAACAATAAATTGCCAGAAATCAACCGCTGTTCATTCTTTCTTATTTGACATTTCTAATGTCATAACAATTTCCACAATTTGTGGATTACATTAATCACATGACAGCACGTGAGATGTCACTGTGAATTTTACTAGTTCAGAGTGAATTTTTCTTCGTACTCCATCAACGTCGCAACGCAGCTGACTGGACTCCCCTCAGCATTGAATTAAAAAAAAAAAACATACAAAATCATCAAGAAAAATTGTGTGTATTTAGAAAAAAAGATAATTTATTTAATTGAAAATAACTAAAGTGTGATTCTTCTTTTGTTTTTATTCCATATCGAAAAAATATATAGATAAATTTTTCTAAACAGAGTGTGAGGAAATTCCAATTGGAAGTAAAGAAAAACAAGTGTAAGAAACCCCACTAAAAATGGCTCTTTCTGCATCCCAAGCTCACAAGGAGCATGTCCTAGCTGTTTCTCGGGATTTCATTTCCCAACCCAGATTGAGTAAGTAAAATTAATTAACTGAAAAAAACCAAACAAAAGCAAAACGCAAAATGAAAAAAGGGTTTAGAAAAAAAATTAAGTAAAAAAGTGCAATCACTCAGTGGTCGCCATATTAGATTTAATTTTATCAAAACTTTTACGTCGTCACAAGATGTGAGAGTACAAAAGAGAGATTGCTACGAAAAAAGTGTAAAAGAAAAATCAATAAAATTTTGCCAATTTTATTTCTGTGCACTTTTTTCTGTATCCAAAGGAATTTAAGTTTTATAGAAAAATGTATGCAAATAGATACAAAAGTGCCACAAAGCTTTGGCAGAAGTTGTTTAATTAATTGTTAAGTAAAATTAGTTTATTAGTAGTTGGATATTTTGTAGTAGAGTTCAACATTGATAGATAGTTAACTTTTTTACGTCATGTGACTTGTTTTTATTTGACTGTTTTTTTCTTCTTCGCTTCTTACAGAGATGCCACGAATTATTTAGTAATTATTTGTATAAGTTTTTTTTATATTGTTAATTGTGTTTAGCACCTGACTTGTTTGCATTATGATTTAATTATTAATAGGTATTTGTTGTTTTACATTTTATGCAATATTCTTTGGTCGATTTAAAGAAAAATATTAATGTTTTTGAAATTGTGGGATTTTCTTTTGACAGTTTATGTTATTTTGATAAATTTTAGGTTCTTTCTGAGAATTTGTGGTAGAAAATTTTTAAATTGATAATATATTTAGCTAATTACCAAAATATCTTTAGCCAAAAGTAACATTATCGAGCAATATCTATCATGTATTTTAAGAAATATGAGCCTAAAATGGAAACGTAATAGGTAACTATTAAGTGAATTAAATTAGTGAATGTAATGTTTAATTTTAAGAATGAAAATTGTAGTAGAATTCCTTGTATCCAGTTTTATAACTACATACGTTTTTGAACTATTATAACGAATTGGCGAAGAAATAATTATTGCCATTCAATTGTAATGATTTTTACCTATAACTTTTGAAATGTGTTTTACATATTTAACTCTAAAACTTATAAAAATTCTACATTCTGCAAAAACATTAAAATCATATACATAATTTTAATTAATTCTGCAGTAATATTTGTTAACGATTTTAAAATACATATGTTTTATAAATTACAAAAACAAACATATAAGTTATAAAATAAACCTAGCAACCCTATGATTTAATATGGGTTAATTTAAAACTCTCCCTCTCACTGCCTCACATAACTCTCTATTTGCCTAAATGCATTACGTTTTTACTAGTTTTCTTTTGTTCGCTTATACGTCTATTTTTCAATGGTTTACTTTCAAAGTCAGCTGACTTATCTATTTTCGTGAATTTGCTTTTCTTAAGTATTTTTTTTATTAACTAATTACAAATCTTATCTTCATTCAAAAATTAAACAAATTAAAAACAAGTAAGAAATTATAGTCGGGCGAGGCCGACCATATAATACCCTACACCTTTGACAAAAATATAATGTGATTTAGTTGCCATAATAAAGCATTTAAGTTGAATTGTACCTTGCCTTAGATATACATACTTAAGCCGTTTATTGTTGAATAAAATTGTGAACATTTAAGTGAAATTTTGATGGGGGCTTTTCATAGGGGCTAGGGTCATATAAGAACCTATTATTATGGAATTCGTGGGGGTCATCAAGTCTTGTATACAACTTGTTTATTGCAGCTTTTTGTCGAGATATGAGTATATTAAACATAATTATGAACTTAAAAGCCCTTTTCGGCGGGTTCAGTTGTATGGGGGCTAGGTGAAAAAATGGACCGAAGTAAACCATTTTCAACAGGCTTCGTCTATGGTATCATAAAAGATCATGAGCCAAATTTCATTGAATTATCTCCAAAATTGCGACCTGTGGTTTGATTACAAGTTTTAAAAGCCCAATTCGAGGGGTTCAGTTGTATGGGGGCTA